TGGGGCATAGGAGGTGGGTTGAAAAGGCGGGAAGGGATATCGTTAGGATAGACAGACTAGGGAAGACATTTTTGAACCACCTTGTTGGCAAAGTAGAAAGGAACGATGGCCATCGGTGATCGGTCCTGTGGGAACAATGCTCCGTCCTCTCGAGGACGCGTGGTCAATGGTCTAACTGCCAAGGCATGCAAAACATAAGAATACGCCCTCCCTCCCGCAACCCCCACGACTTCGCACAATACAAAGGCGCGGAAACTCTAGGCGGGCAGGCACGCACGCACGAAGATCTCGCCGTATCTCCCTTCCGTTACCGTTCTATTACATACCCCCAGCACGATCGCACCTTCACGTACGAAAGGAAGTACAGAAAGTCCAACCAGTTCAGCAGCCCCCTATCGCTGCCATTGCCTCGTGTCGTCTGCCCGGCCCACACGGACACCGCGTAGGCCGAGGAAGACGCCAGGATGACGCCGCAGACTGCCACCGCGGCGGAGGAGGGTCGCTGCTTTCGATCTCGCCAGTCGTAGTACACCACCTTCGGGTGTTATTGTTGTTGTTGTTGTTGTTGTTGTTGTTGTTGTTGTTGTTTTTGTTGTTGTTGCTGTTGTTGTTGGTGGTGATGGTGCTGTTCATGAGTGGCGGTGGTGGTGATAATCACGATGATGCCGTCATTTGCTAGGGTCAAAGTGTCCTTTTTACGGCCACGAAATCGCACGCCCGGCTGTCTTATACTTGAAGTATGTTGGTAACGTCATCTCATCAAGGCAAAATCGCACCAACAAGGTTCCGTTTCTCGCTCTTTCATGCCGGCCCGTGGGAAGCGACACGTGCGTGAGAGCGGGGAATGTATTACTCAAGCAGAGTGTTTTCTTGTAGAATAGTTCACCACCTCAGCGAAAAATAGCAGGCTATCTGCACACGCAAGCACCGCCGTAGAACAGCATGTGATCGAAAGTCCTGCGATGTTTTGGGATGGGATGGCTGAGTGCACGACAGTGAAATGAACGCTTTGACAGGTTACACGACCGTGAAATTGGCTAATGCTCGGGAACCAATCCACGAATCCACGAGCGCATGATGTTACCCTGTGACAGGTCACACAGGGACCAGAATGGTTTATGATTCCAAAAATTACAACAACAAACAACAATAATACCTGGGGCGTACTGCAGGCAGAAGCGAGAGGAATGGGTTCAATGCGCTACACGTGCATCGATGTACGCACCTGCGCCAGTGTGAAGAAGGACACGAAGGTAGCGTGCAAGGCGAAGACAGCATCGTTCAGCTGCACCTTGTTCGGCTGGCCCGCGTGCCGCTTGTCGTACGCCCGCTGCATGAACTTGGACCAATGCAAAGAGCCTACTTGTATTGACAGCCACACCGACACACGCAACATGGGCCACGGGCTGTGTCAAGCTTAAGCTTTCTTCGACAGGACAGTTACTGTAGATCGACAGCGATCCTCGAATGGAAATACGAGAAAGCTACGGGATTGGGTCCCATTCAACCGTGGCTAGTTCATAGCACGCGCGTGCTGGACCGGATAGGATGAAAAAATGAGCACGCTTGCTCACACAGGCAAAACGATACATCGACACCCGTATTCGTGGGGACCAAACCCATACCGGTTGATGATGGGAAACCTCCCTCTTTCACGAGGAAGCAATCAACTAAAATGTGTTCCAAAATGAATACTTTACTTGTTGGCAACGCGGGTGACTGGTCCAGAACTGGAGTTCCTAGCAACGAGGCCATTCCGCCGTCAAGCGAAGGTCAGGCCACAAACACAGCAGTCAGTCTATTTGCACGCCACCGGCCGTGGCTATCTTTACACAAGAAACCACTAGGAGATTCTAGACTAGTCAATGCTTCAGGACAAACAACAACAAGGGTTTTACCGATTGGTCCCCGAAACAAACGAAGGGTCTTACAGGTGAAAGCCGAGTAGCACGAAAAGGCCAGTACGTTGTAGAGGAGGAAGTCGAACGACAGGCCGACGCTCGTTTTCCTCCGGTAGTTGAGCAGAACTTGGGGGTAGAAGGACACGCTCCAGCTTTAAAGAGGACAGCAACACGCCAGTGCACCAGTGGGGAGGGAGTCAAATTCAATACACGATTTGGCCCTCATATCGGAATAACTTTGCGTAAAGGGGGGGGAGGGGGGGGGGGGGGNGGGGGGGGGGGGGGGGGGGGGGGGGGGGGGGGGGGGGGGGGGGGGGGGGGGGGGGGGGGGGGGGGGGGGGGGGGGGGGGGGTACTCTTGTGCTTTGTGCATGTCTTAGCGGTTAGACCATCGACCACGCGTCCTCGAGAGCACGGAGCATTGTTCCCACAGCACCGATCACCGATGGCCAATCGTTGTTTCCTGCTTTGCCGAAGGTGGCTCAAAAATGTCATCCCAAGTCTATCTATCCTATCGATATCACTTCCTGCCTTTCAACCCACTTGCTATGCCCCAGTACAGTTACCATCTTCTCCTGACCCTGTGTGTCATCTCATAGGAGCGACGCTTGTGTACGAAGCAAACCTTGCATGCACCAATTGAGAAACATGTGACAGCACTAAGCAATATCCAATGCCACCCGGGAAGATGGTAGCGAACGCGCTAGGGAAACATAGCGGTCTAGAGAGAGACGAGCACATCCCACGAACCGGCATCTGTATCGAACGACACGATACTACCGCGTTGAGGTTATGGGTATGGTTTCCCGATCATCACAAACCCATCGACTGTTCAACCTTGTTCCAGTGGATTCACGAGTGGCTACAGGGTGATTCAGAACACGCGCATGCATACTTTGCCGGTTGTCGTTTGAGCCGAGGATGCTCTGATCACCAGTCAACAGAGCGCGCATAGCGCCGTCGGATCGATAGAGCTTGTCGGCCTCTAGAACTTGGATGGGCATCGCATGGCTTCGATTGCACGAACGCTGGATTTTCGACGCAAAAATAGCTCCGTCGGCACGTCCGTGGTGGCAATGACATTTTGAAACTGCAGCTATGGATCGGGGGCTTTATCGTGAGCGAATAAAAGGCTACCTTGGGGGACTGCTGACCTAGGGAATGTGTGTGTGTGTTCGTCCCATTTATTCTGGCGCCGGTTTGCAGGCCTTTCAGCGAATATTCCTGACTCATCTGCGGGGGTCACAAGAGGCAGGTCAGTCACACAGGAGCTTTTTTCATATTTTGTTTGCTTCATTGCCCCACCTTTGTGCGGTGCTTGCCTTGGTTTTTATCGCGAGAAGGGTAGGAAATAGTCAGAAAAAAGAGCATACGGTTAACTGCCCCTGAAGGGACTTCAGTGTGATCCCGGCTGATACTCCTTCAAGTTTTGGGACATGTGAGGCGCCAACAGAAGCAGTGCAGTAGGGGCCGAAATAAGAATAATCCAGCGATTGTGGACGATAAACTTGGTGTGCGTCGGTACAGCAGCAGAGAGACAAGGAAAAAAAGGCAAGAAGTTAGTTCTTGTCAGCAACTCTTTACATGCAGTACTAAATTGGGCAATGCGTAGTCTCTCTTCGAATGTTATGCATTTTTCTACCACAACCCTTGTAATGCACACGTATGCATACGAGCGAAATCACAATTCAGTAGAAGGGGTCCCTGTTTATGGCCGCCTTTTTAAGGCCGGTTGCCCTATTCGAGGCCGGTAAAATCGCTTGGCACATATGGCATATTCCAAGGGTTAACTCGGTGACGGTTTTTTAGGCGGACATGTTTTTGCCGGCAATCACGTTTGGCGGTGGTTATTTTGGCGGTAGGCGGCAATGCGTTTTTTGGGGGTATCAACTTTGGCGGAGGCGGTAACACATAATTCGGCGGTAATTTTTCGGCGATTTTGCCATGTGGCGGTAATTGTACATATTGGCGGTAGGCTGTAACCCTTTTTTCGGCGGTAACGACTTTGGCGGAGGCAGTAAAACCAAAAAACGGCGGTAAAACGGCGGACAACCGGGACCGCCAACCACGGCGGTCATTTCACGGCGCGTGATTTTCATTCAAAATTTTCTCAAGCGCGGTGAGGCGGAGGTGGATTTTCGAACGAAAAGAACAGAACAAAGTGAGTAAAATACATTGTGGACAAGAGTGGGTCACAAAACAGACAAGAGTGGGTATTGTACATGGAAAGAAATACGTAGTAGATTTCGGTGCGTACATTTTTTTTTTTTTTATCCCATCATTGGACTCTGTCGTCTGCCCCTCTGGCCCCTATCCTCCACTTCTACTAGCTAGACGACCCAACCGGGGTCACATAGGAGGGACATGTGCCCACAGGAATTTCGGACAGAATCGGGCAACCTGTTTTGCCTTGTGCGCCTCGGCGGTGTGTGGGGTGAAGTCGCGCGGGAGATCGCAAAAATTGACGCTCATGTTGTGCTTGGGCTTTCTTGCCCGTGTTGTGCAAGCATCGGAATGAGATGTTGAGTGGTTTGGCCTTATCAGGAGTAGTGTCCGGAAATTAAAATTTTGAGTACATCCTCACCACTTTTTGTCCGAGAAAATCACTGTTGTCCACCGTATTTTCCCCAAAGGAAGGCGGAAACTCCAAATACGGTGTTTTGACGACAGACGGAAACAACACAATGGGAAAAAAAAAAAGCGAAATGGCTCCATGCATGCGGTGGGGTTCGAACCCACGAAACTCTAAGGTACCAAGTCTTAAGCTTGGCGCGTTTAACCACTCCGCAACACATGCACAATTGACTTTCGCGCTCGAGAATGTTTCGTATCTGAATAGAGATGCTCAAGAAGAGGTGTTCTCCCTCAGGTTTAAGCACTGAATACCAACCACAGCAGTATTCAACACAGCTGACCCAACAGCATTCAAGCAGCCCAGTGTCAACTTGCTGTGTTCAATCAACTGCAGCAGTTTTCTCTGCGATAAGCATCAACTTTGCTGGGTCGACTGCTGCCGTTGGTCAGCCTCCTCCCGGTACATACGAAACCTTCACCTCTTCTTGACTATTCACAAGGCAGCACGCCGATCCGCAACATGATGAAATACAGACAGGCTGCTTGCTGCACTGCTATCGTTCCACCTTGTACCTGCAGAAATAGGTCCACCCAATGATGGCCGAGATCCGTCGGTAGGGACCATGAAGCTCGTCAGAAGCTGGAAGCACCGATCCCAGCGCCACACCAACAACTACAATAAACCCAAGAATCAGCAAGGCTAGCGCGGGGTCTCCTCTCCCTCGAACCCAAGCACGCAACGAGCGGCATGCGGGTGCTCCTCCGGCCGAAATCTCCTCGGAAGTATCTAACAGGCAGCTTAGCGACCTCACATGGCTGAAAGGCATTCTCTCTCTGCTCTGTGTTTCGTTGTTGTGGGCACAGGGGTCAGGCATGCGACGGTGCGAAGTTTCGAAGCAAGCGAGGAGCAGCGAGACAGAGAGGATCCGCACGGGACCGGGGCACCGCGGAGAAGAATGTACCGCATGCATCATGCCTCTTTTCATCTTCTATGTCGTCGGTCCTGCCAGCGCCAGGTGACCAGCGTTGTGGAGAGAGGCGTGTCCGACCAAGATCGACAGAGTGACAGATCGACACGCTCCCGTCAAAAAAGAGGGGCACTCGGCTGTCGCAGCCACTATTTCGAGGACTAATAAACTGCAATACGCGGCACGAAGCGTCGGTGGGGCGGTACTGTATGCCCGACGGGTTTGAATTTCAAATTTCAGCAGGTTCAGACAGAGAGCAGTTCAGAGACAGACAGCTTGCGCGGTCTGGCTGACTGGACAAGCAGCCGCTGTGCCACCCTTCATCGTCAACTAGAACCTAGAACGGCTCCCAGCGGCGCAACGAACCCTATGAACGAAGTAAGCACGGCAGGATCAACAGAAAGAAGGAGAGCTGTCCCTGGCCGGAAGAGCGGACTGGCAAGGAAACGTCAACATCCAGAGCAGCAAGAAGTTACAGTTCCAGTCGTGTTCAAGCAACACCTCGGGAGTGGAGATGCGGCCCATGTTGTGATAGAGGTGAGGAGATGTGCAGTTAGACGTACATTATGGTGTTCGTTGAGAAACACAACATATCTAGTCGATTGCAAGACTATACAGCATAAAAACATGGCAGACGATTCTAATCACTGCTCCGAGAGTCACAATTACGTCTTTAACTCTAGTCTACAGCAGTCCCAGCGCAGGGGGCGTTTTCCCTCCTCTGGACCCATCTCGCCGCCCAGTGTATGTTGTAGTGATAACAGCCAGCTTCTCGTGTGATACGACCGTTGTCCGGAATATGCATGTGCTACACCATGAATATATAAGAATATGCTAGTATTGCGTCGTTGACATGCCAACAACCACATAACACCCTCACGTTGTACTCGATTTTGTCCCTCAACAACCAGAGGCCCGAACATGGCCGTCAGTTGAGCATCCAATGTACTGCCTCTACTGTAAACCTTCGTGTAAACAACTTGGTGTACATGCTATTCGTCGTCACGACTTCGCACTGCTGTCCAGAAGCGCCAACTACGAAAAATGACGGTCTACACTACTCAGATGTTGAAAACCACGTTCGTCTCTCGCAGCACTTACGTCATCCCGAGGAACCTCTACTCCTCTTTGTTGCGGCTGGCGCTGACTCCTGTTCTTATTCCGCCTTACATGTACTGTGGTAGGGTGAATTTTTGGTGGTTGTTGTTTCTCTCTGTTTCCTTAAATCACTCGTTCCCTACATCTTTCCATGTTTGCCTTCATTTGTGCGTGTATCCGGGCGCGGCAAGGTGCTGCGACACGTGCTCTTCATGAGAGGACAGCTGCCGATGCCGTTCCAACAGCTTGTGAAGGTGCGGCGTGGCTCAATTTGCCGAAAACACGTTATCCACCTGGGTGCATCCCTAGAGGCCAGTTGCACTTGGCGCGAGGTGAACTAAGCGTCTGCCCGCATGGTGATCCGCTTCAATAACCGCGGTTGAGCGGGCAGCGATTCTCAGCCGGTTTTCTACGTGTGGGCTTTGTTCATGACAACTAGCGGCTTATTGTGGTGCGGTTTGGCGCGTGGTGTCTCTTCAGGTGCTAGACGAACGCGAAGAGCGGGACGAAGTCGACCGACGACAAAAGTCAGCGGCGGCGGCGGCGGCAGCAGCAGCAGCAGCATTGGCTGCCAGGGAAGGGAGAGGCAGGACGCGAGAGGGAGGAGACGCACTGGGTAGTGGACTAACTGGAGCGGTTGACAGGAGGAGGAGTAAGAAGGCCAAGAGCGGACGACCTCTGGCGAAAGCCCCTCGTGAGCGACTTAGGCCAGATTACATTCGGATTTTTCGACCAGCTTGTTCGAGTGCAAGGAGACCGCAACTTATCTGATGTTCGACCCCCACGCTCAGCTCCCTTTGTACGGACAAGGCCATTGCGAATGGACCTTCAAGGCCGCCACTGATTGAGTATGGCCCACACACCCGCCGCACCCTTCCTTGATGTACTGCTTACGATCCAGCGCACCGTCGGGCACGGAAAGGCTTGCGAGCGTTGGCGGAGACTACCCTGGCCGTGGAAGAGGCGTTTGCGGACGCTGCCAGGAAGGGGCGGCCTGTGTTGGAAGCCCTCGTCCTGCTGGGAGCGTCGCACCTCTCTCCGAGGTTAGGTTGAAATTGTCGGCCACGTAGTACCTGAAAGTACAACAGAAAAAACTCAACTCAACACATCACCACAACAACGCCACAAACAAGGAGGAGACTGCGGATGAACTGCTGACTCTGTACGGGAAGAAATTCGCGCCTGGAGTATTTATGCTACCTCTTACATGCGTGCAGTGTCTCTGGCGTACCGTTTTTGATTGTGGTGTGCGTTCATGTGGGTAGTGATTATCGATTCCTGACGTCCGAGAAGGACTCGGCACCATACCCACTACCTACGGTGTTGGTGTCACCACCCTTGATCCGTCAACTTGGAGGTCACCTAGTGAGGTCTTCCATGTGGTCTGAGAAGGTCCCGGCCACATTGACCTCTGCCTGCTTGAGTTGTCCACCACCCATGACCCTTTTCTTCCCACGCCCCCAATTGTTCCGACCAGGACAGCGGTGGATTTACATTTGTTGCATTTTGTTTTAGGCCATTTTTTTCGAACGTTTTACAGTAAGCGATATGATTGCAGGTTGTGTCCCCCGCACGCCGTCTGCTGCCCCCCCCCCTACCGGAAACACGCCGCTATCAGAGAGATTTACTCCGTGACGTTTTCCGGGTCTTGTCTCGATGAGAGCTCCGAGAGCAAGGACACTACGACGAGGAACACTGCTAGTAGCGGTGATCTTCGGGGCAAGAGCAGCCTAGCCGATGCGTACTCGCGAACATTGGTGAGAGATGGGGGTGTAGTTGTTTGGGGAATTGGTGATGTTGGCGCGAGGAGCATAACTTGAAACCACCACGCGGCAGAAGGAACCGATCGACTCGACAAACGTCTCGGAGATTGGGGTGTCCTACGGTTTGTTCCAAGACAAGAATCCTGTTGCTTCTTTCGCCTCTTCGTTCGTGCTTCAATTTGTGGCGTCTCGATGCTGTGCTCAGTGCTCCGCGATCCATCTAAAAGTATGTTTGCCATGGCGTTGTTTGCTTGCCCCGCCATCTGGTACAGGTGCGAAGCATGGTCGGGAAAATGTCCAGCATGCCCCTCCGTGGGCTAGGATCATGCCGAGTGCACCTCTTCTTGCGAATCGCGGAGGGCCCCGTCCAGGACCTTTGTACCGCCGCGCCGGTAGCGAACGAGACCATGGTCGAAGCTTCTTCGACTCTGACAAGCAAGACGGTAAATATGATGTTTCACGTTACGCTGAAACGTTGCTGTACTTTGGAAAAGTCCTTGGGAACGCGAGAGTAGAACTGACAACGGTTTGCCGACGACGCACAAACTTCTGCTCAAGTCAGATTCGGGTGGATATTCTTGGACAACAAACAGTATTGTGTCTCGTTTCTCGGTTTTGTACGTTTGTCGAGCCATTCGTGGTTGAATTGCTTGATGTCCGTGGTGCGCGGGCTAAGATACCCAACGACAACGCTACAACCCGACTGATACACAACATCCATACTCAAATCAGTTCATCCATGAACGCTTCTTTGCTCTTCGCTCCGTTCTCTGCCGCTTCAATCCCCCACGTCCTTGTCTCCCCCCCCCCCCCCCC